TCGATCAGCTGCCTCCTGCACACTCCCCACTGGGGATGTGCCCGCAACCAAGGTGCATGCCCTTGACCGGAACCGAACCTGGGACCCTTCAGTCCGCAGGCCGACGCTCTATCCACTGAGCCACACCGGTCAGGGCAAAAGCCGAAGTTTTATCCTCTGAAGGGACTAATGACACTGAGACGCTTTCAGTGACGTGGACCGGGGACGGGCGGCACAGATTACCGATGTCGGGGATTAGAGACTGAACACCATCTAGACCTACAGGCGTCTTCTAAAAATCTACTCAGAGGATGCGACACACACAAATGATTTTTATAGTTTAGGTAAAAATAGGTTAAAAACACAATGTATGAAAGGAGACACAAAGAAGAAACAAACATGTCCAAACGGCCCCATATTAACGAGACACATTCCGGCGGGAACGAGGACCATCCCCACCCGCACGGCGAGACCGTTCCTTCCGAGGACGTCGCCGGGGTCTGACCCCGAAAGGCCGGACCTCGGGGAGGATCTGTGGACCGCGGAACCTCGACGGGGCCGGCCGCCCTCACTGTTCAGACGAACGCGAGAGGGAGCAGGCGGGGAGGCTGCTGTGCGGTCAGGCCCACTGGACATTGGCCCCACGTCTCAGCCCCAAGCCCGGGCGTCCAGGGCAGGGACGGAGCGGGCGCCGGCGCGATTGGAAATCGCGAGCCTGCTCTGGTTTGCCGGAGCTGTCATCATGGACGTAAAAGGCCCTGGAGAGTTTCCGGGTGAACTCTTCCATCGCTAACGAATGCGGCAGGGACACTGGTTTTACAGACGACTCACAGAAGCCCACCGCGTCTCCGTGGGCCAGGGACGCACCGTGAGACGCGGAGTGAAGAGATGCCACGGCAGCCCACCCCACGGAGGCCCAGATCCATTGACGTGAGCGAGTCCGGCGTTCGTGACCCGGGCCCAGGAGGCCGGGCCTGGGCGGAGGGGCCTGGTGTGTGTGTGAACGGGGGGACTCTGTACGAAGCAAATTTCCGAGATTCAGTGCGATTCCAATCTACACCCAGCACCTGCATTGCTCCCCCCTTTTTGCTAGTCCTCCCCCCGAGGGCACTTCCCCATCGGTGCTCAGGGAGAGAGGAGGGAGAGGGAGGGGCGGAGAGAAACGTGGATGTGAGGGAAACACAGCAAAGGTCTGCCTCCTGCACGCGCCCCGTCCAGGGCCCGGGCTGGGAGGAGCCTGCCACCGCGGTCGTGCCCTGGACCAGAATCAAACCCAGGACCCGTCTATCCACTGGGCCACACTGGCCGGGGCTTTATTATTCTTTCTTTTTGGGAAAAATTTCAAGCAGATTCTGAGGTCGTCACGAGAAAGCAGAGGCAGGGTCGCGGAGAGCGTTTGAGGAGCAGCCGAGGGAGCGGCTCCCCGCACGGCCCAGGACTCCTGAGGTGACACGAGCAACGTGGCCGCCTGGGGGCACGGGGACCTGAGCTGTGCGCGCTGCCCGGGACAGGAGGGACCCTGGGAGCGAGCGCTCGCCTGCGGCCGCCCGGTCTGAGGCCACGGTGCTGGTCTGCTCCCGTGAGCGAGCGTCCCTGGCGATCAATGGCCCGGGAAGAGTCTGGGCGTCCCCTCCCCCCGCCG